TCTTTTGTGAAAAAATATATTTTGCCTAATTACATGGCAAACTGTTGCAAAAATATTAAATTACATAGACTACTACTGAATTGTTATTTAAATCCGAGCGTCATAAATGAAGAAAGACAAATGAAGAGACAAAGAACAAATAAGACTAAAAAAATATTTCGTGAATATTGCGCGCGTATCTTTTTTATATAATTCTAGTCTCCGCATTCGAATACGAAACAAAATCTCTGAATATCGAACATGCATGCACTTTTCGATGAAGTGCAGACGAAGTGAAATTCACAAATGAACTATTGTGTTAGGAGCGTATCTGAGTACTTGGGTAAAAATAGATAATAAATTGCAGTATGCGCAAATATAAGCCGTAATATGTAATTAATGTAATATGTAATTTTATAAAATTTTGTTTAGGAAAGCATAAATATAATAACATACCGTAAATAAATAATTGCCATGAGTGAGAAAGTATTATTTTATGGAGAATTAAATTTCAGCTTTTTTATGTCATTATCTTTTTAATTAATGCGTTATATCTTTTTGCGTAATTTGTAATATCATTCAGCATTCAATTTTTACATTCGAACGAAATGTAGTATATTCACATACGAAATTGAGCGTCGAAAGCATCTCTCCGAGAAGCTTGTTTCTCTCTTTTTATCGTCAACTGATCATTTTTCTCTCGACAACCCCTTCCTGGCCAACCAAACGAGAAACACCGACGGAGATATGAATATTGCGTAATTGCACGGCTCCCTTGAAATAAACGAGAAGCAGTAACAATGACGCTGTTTCTCTCTCGCTTTTTCGTTTTCTTTTCTTTTCTCCCTGTCAGTATGGTACTTCTGGTAGAGGTACTGCCGACGACCGGCTGGGACCATGAATTTCAAATTTTCCGCCGCGATGCAAATACGGAAGCCGCATGAACGGTGCACGTATGAATCCCGGCAGCGCGGCGGAAATTTACCTCGAATTACGACGCAAAATCACAGTTCCGACGTTTTAATCGCCCTGTGAATCATTTTCGACGTGCTTGACAAATTTCTTAAAATCACGATGAAAGTTTCTCTTAGACATTCGTCCTGTGTTTGTGAAGTTATTTCGAGCCTCGTTAATCTGAAGAGTTTTATCGAGAAAACATGAAAGAATAAAACAAGAAATAATAAAAATCAAGAGAGAGATGGTTAAAGAGATTTATTTAAACTTCACTTCACACAGTGGCATTTAACAATTATAAGATAGTATATGTAAAAGATTTTTTACGTTTAAAACCAGCTGTTGCTATTTTAGCATTTTAACGTATTCTCGTTCACAACGAAGCCATGCATAATTTACGTAAAATTACACGTAATTTCTTGCAACTAACAGGATACGATAATACAATCGTATCGTTCATCGGCTGCACGAATACGCTGAATATTATTGCTCCGAATTTTTTTTACGTCTTTTTTAGCGATATTTCTCGAGCAATATTTCACGCGATTATGACTCCGCATTTAATGAAAACATCGATCATATAATATTGTAATATCCTTTCTAGATTTTTTTTAATAATAATTCTCTGAATACTGTTCTCTTTTCATGAAAATAAAGAAGAGCTTATTATTCTTAAATAAAATTGTTAATATCACAATTTTTTAAAGTTCTTTAACATCAACATTTAGCAGTAATTCATTAATTGTATAAAACATTAACAACAATAGCATTTATATTTTTTGTTATCCAAATTTGCCTAAAAGTTTTTAAACGGTTCAACCGTTTAAACATTCATTTTAATAAAACGATCTTTGGAACATTGCTTTTTATCACGCTTTTTGTCGTGTGTGTAATTTTCTATTTTCCGAATTTTTTAACAAAATCTCTCAAAAGTTTCCAATTTAATTTGCTATTTTCTTTTATTCACAATATACAATTGTTCGTTTTATAAACTTTCGTATCGTGAACTCGTCACATTCAAGAATACCGTATTTAAAAAAGATTATTTCTTTACAATCACGATATAGATAGAATGTCAGCTTCACCCATAGAGCCATAACATTCAACGATATGATACGCATATATTTTATATCATATCCAACGTAAAGATTAAATAACTGAACTGAATAATCCAAAATATTCGCTTTTTATCTAATTCCGGCACAACTAGCACATATGTGTGCACCATATACAAACACATGTAAATCGTATACGAGCTCTTGTAATATTGGAACGTTTATTCGGCCTAGTTAACTCGCAGAGATTTCGCGAGAGCTGCAGATTACGGTATGGTCGAAGCCAGTGAACCGGAAATGTTCATGTCGAATCTGCACCGCGACATTGAAAAGTAGTACATGCTCGAAAATATCCTGAAGGTATACGTGGAATTCGTTCCGAGATTATTCGAAAATCTAGCAACGGTTCTATGAGTTAATATAACTTGGAAATCGAATTTCTAAATGAAAATGAATTTCTTATAATCCTCGAGAATAAACGAAAAAAAGAACTAAGCATCAATAGAACATGGGATTAGATCCCATATGACATCATTAATGATTGATTATTTACTAAAATTATCACATATCCCAATTATCGTGGACAACGGTGATGAATGACTAACAAAAGGAATCTTATTAGTTTTGCATTTAATTGAATATGTTTATTAACGGTCACTATAAATCATCAGTAATAACAACTTACGTTGTTATTAATAATTTGCATTGGTTGCGTGATAATTTGCGTGATTGTTAGTTGCGTTTTTCGCGGATTAAGAAAGCTGTTTACATTCTGATTATTGAACGTCATTTGCATGCCTTGTATCAGCAAAATTTGATACTCTAATAATACATGTATTTAATGATTTGATAAAATTATTGAAATTAATTAGTTGTTTGCAAAATATCTCTTCATTCACACATATTTATAAAATGGAATAAATATTATTTCTCAAAAAAATTGTCGATGCAAAATACACCGGTGCGTCAAGTAGATGAAAAAATTAAGCGTTAAGAAAAAGAACGGATGCGAAAACGCTGCCTCTGACATTTGGCACGCGTTGTGCAACGATATGGATTCACTCTGACGCCTGGCGTTGCATAATCCCGGCTATAAATCATGCGGAAGTGGCGATCAATCGGATACGCTGATCGCCCAAGAATCCGCCCGGAAATAATTTCGACGCGCTTGATAGTGCGCGTTATATCGCAGATCACTCTCGATGTGTACATGTCGGCAAAATGTACAGAACAGTTTTTCGCAACGATTTATTATAAACGAGTACAGATCAGAAAGAAAAAGAAAGAAAAAGAGAGAAAGAGAGAGAGAGAAAGAGAGAGAGAGAGAGAGACTTGAATTAAAATTTGTCTGGAAACATTCTACAGAATAATAATTGTATAAAATGATTTGAAATTTTCATAAGTTAATTTAAAATTTTTTAAAATCCTTTAAAATATATAATAAATTAAAATAAAATATTGTAAAATCCTTCTTTGATACATATGTACCGCGAAGAATCAAATAATAATTATAACTAATACAATAAATGTAAAAAATAAATATAGAAAGCGTAATTATAAATAATCACGAATCATATATTTTCATATATATCAATAATAATATGCAATAACGAATTTTTTTTCTATCGGGCAACGATAATTCAATTCTTGATGTTCTGTTTAACCCTGCTTACTTATCGCACACTTATGTGCGCGTTCAGAAATATTCTATACCGCACTTTTGCCTGGTTACCAAGAGCCTTTTAAAGCGCACTTTTCCAGATAATTGTGGTTCCATTTGAGGCTTACTTCGAGCATGACCGTAAATTGCAGGCCGATCGCGCGGCCAAAGGCGCACTCTCAAAAGTCTCAAATAACTCAGTCTTCGGTGTCGTTCGTTGGCATGCTAAATTAGTTTGTAATGGGATAGCTCATGAATACGCGTTCGTCATAGAAAAAAGGCAACTGGATAACTGTGTAATACACTCAAACCAAATGAGAAATATTAAAATTATTGGCCAAATAAAAAATAAGATAATATCCTTCCATTTTCTTCCTTAGGTAACTATTTTATTATGCGCTCTACTTTCATAAAGAACAAGATAGTCTCGAATTAAAATTATGTCTATCTTGACTATAAGATTTAAAAAATTTTACAATTTTTATGTTTGTTTTTCTTTAATAAAATTCATCGACTAATTTACTCTTACAATCAAACTAATTGATTCGTGTATGTATCTCTAAATAAATCGTACATAATAGGAATTTTTTTGTAAATTATATTTAATCATACTCTATGTAAGTTCCTTGAGATTTAAAGCTAAAAGAATTTTGCAAAAAAAAAATCAATTCATCGTTTACGATCGAATATCTACTTGGCTTTTGGATAAAATCATACAATCCGACAAACTTGTTACGTTCTCTCAAAAAAAACGACCGAACCACGGCGATTTCGTGTGTTACAGGTGTGGCCGATTCGACGAAATGTCGTCAAAGCTCGAATCACATAACGAGGTTCAATCCGGCGGCTTGTTTCACGTTTTACTTGCCGAACGAGATGCTACACGTCGACGTGACCTCGGCAGAGATTTGGTTCTACAAGGAGCAGGTCAAAAACGCCGACTATCTCAACCAGACATTCGTACTATCCGAGCTCGATCACTGGGACTTGGGTGGCAGCTTCGAAAAGAACACTGTCATAGCAATCTTCGAGACCGACATCGGAGGTGGGTAAATGGCGGATGAAATTCTCTCTCTCTCTCTCTCTCTCTCTCTCTCTCTCTCTCTCTTCTCTCTCTCTCTCTCTCTCTCTCTCTCTCTCTCTCTCTCTCTCTCTCTCTCTCTCTCTCTCTCTCTCTCTCTTCTCTCTCTCTCTCTCTCTCTCTTTTTCTCTCTTCCCCCCCCCTCTGTTCGTTTTCCTCCCATCCCCCATCCATCCGTTCGTCACACACGAATCCGCATCGCATAGAAATCTTCCACCGCGAAATTTCGTTACTCCGTTGCATTGCCTGCACTTTGCGAATCCGTCCCTCGTTGCACATTGCAATTTCGCTCTTTACCGAAAATTCGATACGATGATAGAGATAATTTTCTCATATCACGATATCCCAACGATTTCTAACCTCATCTAATGCTCATTTATATGAGATGCAACTAAAAATTGACTGAATATTTAAATTAAAATTTAATGGAAATTTATCAGAAATTCATGTATTGGAAAATATTATAACTTAAAAGAAATGAAAGTATATAAAGAAGAAATAAAAATATATGTAATTCAATACTAGAACATAAATTCAATATATAAAAAGAAATCTGTGTGATAATAAACAATTAATCCATAATGCACTGAAAAATGTTATTAATGTATAAATGTTATAAATGTATTTAATTTTATTTAAAGATTTCAAGAAATATATAGAAAATATAAAAATTAAAAAAACTTAAGAAAAAATTAATACTTCAATTATTTCTCATGATCGCGGATTTTAATCTTCTTTTTCATCCTAAAGGAACAATTCCCTATGTATTTTCTATGAAATAAGTCATATTTTCTGTAAAACTTTATAAAGGGAATTGTTTTACGATGCACAATTTTTCAAGAAAGCGTCATGCGACACTGCATATCAAAAAAATCGTCATTCTTTTTCTTTCAGTGGGCTGGGTAAATACAGATATGACATTTATAGTGAAGAAATGGATAAACCGACACAGACTGAACCATGCCATCCAGATAGCCTGTACGACTTGCCCAACCGACCGCGATACAGCACCCGTGTCCATTGAGCAGGCCTACAAACCATTTTTGGTGATTCACACGGAACCGTTGCCGCAACGGAATAGACCTAAAAGGCACTCGAATTGCCTACCCGAGATGAAGGAGTGCTGTCGAGATGAGCTCTATATTGATTTCAAAGATATAGGCTGGAGTGATTGGATCTTGCACCCTGACGGATATCACGCGTACTTTTGCCGAGGATCCTGTTCCACGGCGGCTTCTTTAACTGTCAGCGGCTCCCATTACAACAACGTTATCAGGGTAAGCATAATATGACTCTCTCATTCATTAGTGTTCAACTAAATATATCAACGATATCCTATTTGATCTAATTTGACATACTAAAGAAGAAGAAAGCTTTCCTCTTTCGAACAATATTAACATTGATAATATTATCAACATGTAAAAGCTAACGTTCAGTTTTCAGTTAATATTTAATAATATCACAATTTGAAATACAAATTTACATTTTTTTAAATGTTTGAAATTACCTTCTAACTTTCAAAACAAATAAATAATTATCTATTTGCTATAAATTTAGAGGTAGACCCTCACTCAACTACGGTACTTTTTATTTAATTTATTTTTCAATGTCATTTATTTTCTCGCATTATCTCCAAAGAATATTCTTGTTTTATATGAATAACCTTCACTGTCTACAGTTATTAGAATTATCGACAATTAGCTAATTCTTATCATTATGTTATTGCCTATTCCATTTTATTTGCACTGTTACTAATGTGCTCGTTGTCCAAAAGGGACAGATAAAAGTTCTATCTACATCTAAAATAACCGGTAGTCTAATCTTATCTCGCTCGTGTCAGATCGTGCGAAACGCGTAACAACCGATTATCGTGCTACTAAAGAAATGTGTCGCCAGTGTGATTTATATTTCTTCTTTCTTTACGAATGATACGAAGAGAATGCTGACGCCGCATCTTTCTCTCGCTATTTCAAGAATCGCGTGTCACCTCACGCATTTCTTCGCGGTTTTACCGGCAATCATATCGCATTACGAAAAAGATGTCAATAATAAATATCACAAAAATACCGCTGATATGTCAAAGACTTATTAATTTACCGATAATCATCTGAAAAATTAATGAAAACATCTTGTTCTATTAATAATTATTTTGTCCCACTCAAAGAAAGTTTGTTAACCATTTCTATCTTGAATAATATTTAGAATTATTTATCTATAAATTTCATCTACAAAGATATAACATTAAGGTTAACAAAAAAGTATTTTCAATATTTTTCAGTTCATGTTTCTTTCATATGAAAATTTTCAATTCCAAAATTAAATAATTTTACATTTGAAAGTAGCTTTCAATTCCAAACTGAATGTAAAAATTGATCCTCCTCGGATAAAATAATACAGTCCCATCCCTTTTACTTACTACATATATATATATATATATATATATATATATATATATATATATACACACATGCAATTTACGCTTTACTTAACACAAAAAATATAATCGTGCTGCATAACCGCGTCCTTTATTAGTCGCATTAATTGTTAATAAAAGTCGGGAAAGGAGGCACTCTTGTTATACTGTGGCACACATAATGTGAATAATATAGTTTGCAACTCATAACGATAATGGGGCGTTAAGACTCCATTATCACGCAACGTAAAACCCCATTAACTTAGGTCTATGCTTTCTGCCATACACGAAGCGTGACGCGAGAAATATCGTTTGCATATGCGAAATGGAGATGATTTTCTTATGCTCAGCAACCTGGGGGACAGCTAAAAAGAATATGCTCTCCATGATATTTGCTCTCCATGATATTCGTCCGTCTTCTATTTTTCATAGAATCTTTTGTCGTCAAATCACTAATTTCGATGAACGTCGAAATTCAATTTATGCGCAATGATTAAATTTCACTTCGAAAATCATTTCAATTTCGATAATCAAACTCTAATATAGATTTTTTTTTCGAAAAACGAGAAATATTAATTATATATTAATTTCTCAAAAAGAAATGAAATTAATTTAAAATATTAAATTCAAGTATTAAAAACGATGTTTAGAGAGATGACGATAAAATAAAAGCGTATATCAATTGTAAATTCAGACTTGTGATCTTTGCAAATTAATGAGGACGAAAACACCGTTTCTTCTTGCAGAAATATTTGACCACAGACGTGGGGCAACAAAAGAACAAGATAATACCGTGTTGCTCGCCAACGCAACTTGCCCCGCTCCAATTACTCTACGTCGACACGAACAACACGATCACACAGAAAACATTGCCGAACATGGTGGTGGAAGCTTGCGGTTGCATGTGACACCGCTGCCTAAAGACAGAAGGTAAGTGGAACCACTATCCTCCGGTGACGACGAGAAGACGAGGACCAACATCTCACGTCACTCCGTCTAAGACTTTCGCCCGCGTTTAATCGCCGTGAAACCGAACTTGAGAGAGAGAGAGATGTTTACAAAATCCGTCCGCCTCGATTTGAACACGAAGAGATCGATCGCACAGAAACGTACGACAACGATAATTGTCATGATAATTGCATCGCGACGATTAAAGATAAGGGCACGTTATTGTCACGTCACGCGAGCTCACTCTCATATTGCATTATAAATAATACCATTAACAAAGTTACCGATTATATCGATTTGTATAACTTTTACAAATAATAATTTATATCTTTTTATTTTATTGGTTAGCTAGTCTATATTTCTTCGCAAGATAGATATACATGAATTATATAATTTTTTTATCTAGCTATACATATACATGCACGCGCGCGATATGACGCGATACTGTTTCCTCAATGATGCAAATCGTATCGGTAAAAAAGCGTGATATCACACACATGTCATATTATTCATTTTAATAAAATACTTCATATGCTTCAAACAACGATATAAATCAAAAAATTGCTTATGTTTCTCTCTTTTACATTACTCGTGAAAAATAAATACGATTACTATATATATATATATATATGTACGTTCGATAATATAATACGACGTGACAAAACACGAGCTCACGTGATGCAATAACAGTGTGTTCCCGAAATCTGGAATCCCATCTTTAGGTTGATTGCCCAAGCCGCAAGACCAACTCGAACTAACGCTCGCGGTGCCAGGGGAAATTAAGGCGTAAATTAAGGCGAGCCGAACTATGGAGAGAGCTCGTTAGATATTTTAGCGTAAATACCGACACCCCGTATGGCTAGCCGATAGTGAGAGACCTTTTGGGCAATTTCGACAATGAACTTTACTCCGTCGCGTCTATATCATAAGATCGTTTCTACTGCGTATCATTATCGAGGATATTCTGATTCTATAAAGATTCCCAAATTACAAATTTTGACCGATTACTTTCTAACAATGTGATTATCTGGTGATTATATGATCTGGAAGTAAAAGTTTTTATTGATATTACATTTCGTAATTTAATTTTTTGCGAAAGAAGATTATATAGAAAAAAAAAGCGACTTTTGCAGGAAATCCTCAAACTCGAACTCTCACCTGAGTGACGGACTTCAGTTGTGATTTCAAATTATCATCATATTTCGAGAAATATGTAACAATATGCTATCAAGATAATATTTCATAAATAGATTAAAACGATTAAATCAATTAAATCAATCCAAAGTAAAATATTTTTAAACATCTATGAGATACATCTAATTACAGGAGATTTTATTAATTATTAATAAACTTTGCATGTAAACAATAATTTCTCTGTTTCTAAAAAATGGCAGAAACAAAATATGTAATAAAATTATTTATATTTCTCGAAGATGTGGTGATAATTTCCAACTGACGAGATATGACAAACAATACGCTAGAAGCCATACAGTATTCTCTTAACGAAAACTATGCACAATCCGAAACCGTTACATCGATCTCGGCTTATATTTAATTTAAGAAGCGTGATCCATACGTTCGTAAGCTTTATTTATTACTAAGATAGGATTAAATGTCGTCACCTTCTCATTAATGATTAGTTCGCACGACTAAAGCAAGCAACAGAATGCAATAACGATTGTTGTCGAGGTAAATATAATTATGACACAGTCATAGTTACCGTGGATAAGTATATTATTAAGCGACACGATCTAAGCACCAACTGTAGTTGACACGTCAAGATAAATAGCGAGTAACTTGACTTTGTCGAAAACTCTCGGAGCAATAAAACGCGGCTCAATATTATCAATGTATTTTCTTTTTTACGGAAATTTTACGGCTCGCATCGAGCGCCCAAGATAAGTACATCCGCGAGGAATCAATCGATTTTCTTCGCGTTCGAGTGCCGTTCAAGTGCGCGAAATGGATGGACTGACGAGATGGATTTCTTTTCATATTTCAATCCTCACAAACTTCTAAGCCACTTTAATCAATCTTAACTCGAAGTAATATACTTGTTAAAGATATTATGAAATTTTTATTATTTCTTTGAGGCTACACGATAAAATTTTTCATTAAATTAATTTAATCAAGTAGCTAATGCATTAAGTCTGCAATATCAAGACCGTTCGCGTATAATCCTAAATTTTTTAGTACGTATATGATTCATATATTATTTTTGTGATATGTATATATGCCAATCAAGTATATAGTAATTAAGTATCAATATAATAGCAAGTTTTCCATTAAACGCAGTAAAAATCTTCGATATTATTAAAGATGTCCAAATCAAATCGCTGAAGACTTTAAAATCCGCTACAACTAAGTTGAAGAAATAAGTCGCGTTCAAATTCACATCGCACATCGCATTTCTCAGCCACGCCCGAAAAGATTCCAACCGACAGAACTTCATGGGGCGAATGAGGACAAAAACTATGGACGAATTTCCGTGCGGTTTCGAGAGTGGATTAGCACGTTTCTTTCAAAAAATACATTTCACGTTTCTCTCCCTCCCCTTCGCGTAACGCTCGATAAACCTTTCTCGAGTAAATCCATCTCGTCGGTTTCTCCCTCGGCGCCATGTAAATATATCATTCGTGTTTTGCTGTACGCTGCCACGTCTCTGCAAATGAATTTCCTGGAGCGCTTCCTTCCTCCATCCGGGAGACAGACATAGAAACGGCGAGCGGTGGCTAGGAAGAGGAAGCAGAGGAGAAAGAGGAAACGTAGAAAACGGAAGAGAGGGGGGAGAAAAAGGGAATGGCGAGAGTAAAGGAGGACTACGCGAGAGAGTAAAGAGATAGGAGAGAGGAAATAGAAAAGAAAACAAGCACCAGGCAGAGCGAGACAATGGGTGGCACCGTACCGCGAGATCGAAACCAAGTATGTCCGTTAGCGACATTAAATGCAACAGGAAAATAATAGTTATCGCAATTCTACGCGAAGCAAGTGTATGTCTTTGGTGACAGCGACAAAATAGTGTAATCTTTACTTATACGAATCTGTCCCGCTTTGCATCGTACTTCGTCAGGAATCAGTTTCACTTCACTTTGTATCGTGTTTAATTTTCGTTGTCTATTAAAAAATAATCTTTATAATTTATAATAAACCAATAAGACTTTATGATATCCATAATTGATGACCATAAGATAAAAATATTACAACATTAATAAAATTAATAATGTAACAACATATTTTTTTCCTAAAAAAAAACATAAAATAATTTTATCATAAAAAATTAAGAAAGATTTATTAAAAAAGATTATTTTATGATAGAGTAATAATATTAAACATTAATTAAAATTCGTAATATTATTATATTTCTCGTTGTCATAAAAATAACTTAGTGATCCTCGGAATTTCGAGAGATAAAAATGCGGAAATGGTGTTTGTAATATCGCGTAACGCGATGCAGAAGATGAGCCAATATTTGCATCGTAGATTTAACATGAAACACAATGTACGTGTTTTAGGTCTTTAATAACGTCGAATTTCTAAAATAATTTTTTTAATAAACTTCAAACCCAGCCGTTTTTTATGCTAAATAAAGTTATAGATACGTCGATAGTCGATAATTGAAATTTAGGAAATAAGAATATCATATATATTTAATAAAGTAATAAATATAAAATGTTTTTCTCTTATTCTGTGTAATCTTATTCTGTGTATTTCCTCTTATTTATTTAAGGAAACAAGGAAAGTACGAAATCTCCAATTTCAGAGACTTTGTATCGATAAAGTATCGAATATTTATCTGGTACATGTTTTAATTTGTTTTTTTTAATCGAACAAACCCACATGTTTCATACTTTGCTTAGAATTGCAAGTTTTTTTTTTTACTTTAACGTAAATTAAAATAGGTATAGCGCGTATCCATGCAAAAAGAAAATTCTTTGGTTTAATAAGCAAAATATGGATTTACTAAAATTCACATCTTACTCGTGTTTAATAATGTAAGGTTAAAATATCTATATAATAATGTCTATATTATACATTGTTATAAATGTACAAAATCTTGTTTTATTTAAACTTTCCATCACTAAAATGTCTTAATATTATTATTAAAAATATGTACGAGTTATAAAAACTTTATTACAGAGCAAAAACTTCAGAATTAATAATAAGACACACAAGTCACAGAGTAATGAGATGCTTAATACTTTAAATAAAGTAGGAAACCTCTTAGTTTTTTCTGTCTATTTGTAACTTGAATACAATGCTATTTATTCTAATCTTAAAACTTTAATGCTCTTATCTCGTTAACATATAACATATAGGCAAGAATCATCGTTTTTTCATCAATCAATTTTGTGGAGCCCGATCGATATTTGATCAAGACTTCGCCAGATTTTGTTATGGTATTACAATATTTATCCGTCCGCGTTGGCAATCGTAGCCGGTTAACGCGAGTTTCCCACACGGTAACGAGGTTAACGTTACGTGACATCGCTTCGCCGCGAATTAATTGCGTTCATGCGTGTGCGAGTGCGAGTGCAATTTCGATCTGCTGCTGCTGCTGCTGCTGCTGCTGCTGCTGTTGCTGCTGGTGCTGTTGTTGCTACTACACTTCGCCCGTCAATCAATCGCGCGGAATTGCGGCCGGTGGGCGTATTTATGCGTATTACGTATACGTGCGTATATACGTGCGTGCGTGCGTGCGTGCGTGCGTGCGTGCGTGCGTGCGTGCGTCCGTACATGGCTACGCCGTTCGTATTATTTCGCTCCAAAGTCCGACGATTACTTTAATTAAGCATGAGATTATGGCGGAAAAATGAAAATAATGCACCGCCGATAAAACACTGACATGTGACGACTGGGCTGCTGTATCGTCACGTAACATCGTGTGACCTTTTCTCTCGACAGCTGTATCTTAAAGTCCGGGTATCGACTTTAATTCAGACTTAATTGAGGATAATAATGCCGAAGAAAGACGTGTATTTGAGAAATATAAATTAAATTGCAAAAGTTGCAACCCGGATTAAAAAAAGATCAAGTTTTATAATATTGCGATGTCAGGTTTATATGTGTAGAATTCACTAATTTTATTTTCGTTTAATCCAGTTTAAAAGGAAAGAGAGAGAAAATTGCTCTATTTAAAATAATTAGGAAGATATTGGTAGAGAGATATTTTTAAAATCATTTTTTATTAAAAGATAATAACTTATATAAATGGTAAAAAAATTAAACTTAAAAATATAAAATTATAGAATTATTTAAAGCAAATAGATAATTATTTTTCAGTTACTTCCTACTTAATCTGCTTAGATAAAATTTTCATTAAAAGAAGAATTTAATCAAGGTGTTAAAACTTAAAAAGTTATAAAAATAGTTCGCAATAAAATAATTAAAAAAATATTATATCAAAAGTATATCGAACCAATAAAAATAATTGTTCAGTTTAATTGACTTTTTATTCATATATTCTGGAAAATATTCGTTCGTAATTAATTCAAAAGTTTAAAATTGATGCAGATTTTAATCAAGCATAAAACTAATGTAAATTTTAATTATCACTGGAATTAAATTAAAATTTAATTATCACGCGCTGAGCTTTCAGAAAAAAAAGTATTTTAATTACAATCTCTCAATTGCGCAGATTTCTCTAAATTTTACAATTATTACAATAAATTAAAAATATTATTTCACTTATGCACTTACCAAAATTTCGCGTAGAACATCGTTAGCAACGAACACCTGGACGCCATCTTGTCGCTCCGTTTCGTGATTCCGCGCCCAAATACTTCAGTCGCGTCCTACACGTATCATAAAAATGCTATATTATTATCGATTATTATCGACGGTACGACATTATAGATATAAGAAAATTTGTTACACATTAATATTTTCAGGAATCTACATTAAAAAACAAAATATCGGATTTGGATCTCCTTTTTATTTTATTATATATTTATTACTAATATTTCATCTACTGCGCTTTTTTTCTCCTTTTTCTTATATAAGATGACGAATAGTAAATCTACTGATAAAGCACATAATATAAATATAATACGATAACATGTAAACATATAATGATATAAATTGATAATAACGCTAGCAAGAGGCGAAATCCGTAAATATTATTGATAAAAATCGCACTTTGGTTAACGCTTGGCGAAGATGCAACATTTTAATCATTCATTTTATGATTCAATGAAATATGATCATTAATATTGACATAATTACCTTCTGATCTACAATATTTTTGCGGTATCATCAGATTCCGATGTTGATTCCTGATGATATAGATTTTACACGCAACTTGGTTTATTTTCTCCGCCATTACTATTAAAATTTCACTAATTCAAACACGACTACTACGTGAATCAAGTGAATCTCGATGCTACACCGATAGTCGGTAGTCTACGCGAGTTAAATGGAAGCTTAATCAATATGGTGGCGGAATGTCTCATCCTAACCTAAGTAGAGACAGTGGACGACCGGTTGACGGGTTCTCTGTAAGATTCCAAGACTTTTTGACTTTAAAGATGGAAACGTGATGATGATTCTGTGTCGATTAGTTTTTTCGGCGTGTAAGAAACGGCATTGGTTTTCGCGATAACCTCTCGTTCATGATCTATTCGTACAGCGCAAGCATAACGTCAACATGCTGTTTGAGGTTGATGTATTTATCAGCAATTACACGCTGGTCGATCCCGAAATTTATCAGCTTTGGGTCGACGGCCATACGTGTAAGTGAAAAGCATGCATTCCTTCGATTTACGTGATACTTAAAGCCATTAATGAATGTCTTTTTTTAGCCAGCGAAGCAGTTAATATTCTGCATCAACGAGGAATCTGTCAGCAGACCAACGCACCACTCGAACTGGTTGCATCCGACATTCTCGATCATTATCGCACGTATGCCCTGCTCGAGAAATTGCTTCACACTCCTACAAAACTTGCCAGTGAACAACTAGCTTTTCAGATAGAACCGCAAACTAGTCAAATGCTCATAGAAATGTAAGAATATGGGGAAGCAAAATTGGAAATATTAATCTCTCATCGGATTATAATACAAATAATTGTTTGTATCAGGTATTATGAATTTGATGATGTTGTTATACGTGAATTACTGGGAAAGAAGATAACATCTAAAAGTAGAAAGGATATGGATGAAGTGGCAGAAAAAACAGGAATCACATTGAAGAGTTGTAGAAGACAATATGACAATGTTAAAAGAGTATTTAAAATAGTTGAAGATTTACCTGGTTTTCTTGCAGCCAATATAAAACAGCATTTTTTACTTTCCGAAGATCTTGCCAAGTATATATAAATTTTTATAGAAATTGTAATAATTTGTCTCTTAGCACAAATGCACAGTTAAATAAGAATCACACAAATCATTCATAGTTACTAACTATTTTTAATTATTATATAGGCGATATGCTGCAGTAGTGTTTATAGCATGTCTGCGATTTGAAATGAACAAAAGAAAATTGCAGTTTTTAACATTTCCTGATTTATATCACTGTGCTAATAGTATGATGTCATCATGGACATATCGTTGCGTCGGATCTGAATACTTTGACACTGATTTAGATAGAGAATTTTTACAGGAATTATCAGAATGCAGAGTTCTTCTAGAAAATGATAAACATCACAAACAGTATGTTGAATTCAATACAAAACGATCAATTTATAGAACATGAATAATGACATTGCTTTATTATAAAAATCACAAAAGTAAAAAAAAAGGAAATATCAATATGTTTCAGTTTAGTATGTCTTAAACTCAAACCGATGCTTCTCGATCGATCTTATCAAGAACTGGATATAAATTTTCGTTCATATTCAAGAGCGATACTTGGAATTGGATGCAACTTGCACAGATCGCGAGAACTGAGATTTTTCTTTTTGGAATTGGTGGAGAGATGTATTGAACCTTGGCGACAAGTCAATTGGACGCACTCCGATCTACGGAATTTCCTAGCAGTCTATACGCAATGTGCTCTTGATATGGATGTACTTAGGTAGGAATAATTAATATGCATAAAAAGTTCATTTCGAACATTAAGAATTTTAAAAAAATATTATTCAATTTTTATCACAGAGAAGGAGAACTGAGAGATGCGTTTGAACGTTACATGACAGTAGTAACATGTTGTCTGTTACGTATGTATCATACATAATTATTAATGTATATAAAGAAATAAATATATATGGTTATAATATATATATTTACATATACTTAGAAGGTAGAGTAAACGATAGGATTGATAATTTGTACATTTCAGTATTTATTTGTTTTCTGTAATAAATAATAGACAGATGCAGCACATGCCGTCTCTGATTATGCAGTTGTATATATGTATATGCAATAACGCATACAATTATATAACATTTTCTTATAAGTATTGAGATTTTCGATTGAATATGCGATGTAAAATTTTAAAGTGAGAGGCAGTTCATATAAACACGACAGTAACTTGACGTGTATTTACTTCATAAATTATTTAACTGAAATTCCAATTTATTTAAATTCAAATAAATATTAATGAAATGAATTAGAACTTTTTAGCATTTTTTGCTGCATTATTAGCGATTATAATAATAATAATAATAATAATAATAATAATAATAATAATAATGATGTCTATTAATAATATCGCATATACATTAATATACAGGATACACACCACACATTTTGCGCGCTAATTTTAAGAAGTACATTTGTGTAAACCTGTTTGTTTACATTAGTTTGTTTACATAGTACAAACATCTTTTCATCCAAACGTACTTAACATTTTTATATAAATAAAATTTATAAAGAAATGTTTCCAAGATATTCTGGCTAACAGCGACAGAATATCATTTTTAATGAACGGAGTTTTTGTACTTACTGTCAGTTATTTATTCTTCTGTCAGTTATTTATTTTACTATCAATGTTTGGACGAATCTTCGAGGATAGGAAAACTGATGAAGGGAAACTGTAGAAATATAATTTTACCTAAGTATTCGTGTACCATGGACTACTGTGTGATTCCTAACATTTTGTTAACTGCGTTCACTATGTCTCTAATCTGTGGCAAGGCCGCAATTTCCAGTGATTTAGCATATGGCATAGGCGTGTCAACTCCCGTAATGCGAATCACAGGTGCATCGAGATGATAAAAAGCTTCACCTAGAAACAAATATAGAACTCCATTAAGAAACGCATTACTCTATCGAAAATAAATAAGACAATAAATTTCACTTATTTCAAAACCGAGTAATTTTGAAATTATGGTTTGTTTTAATTTCGATTATTTAATTATCATTTAAAGCAGAATTGAATATAAATAAAACATGAAACACATGAATTAAAAGAATCTTACTTTCAGCAATCCTTGCGCTGATTTCTGCACCGATACCACACTGCGGCCAACCTTGCTCGACTGTCAACAGATGTTTCGTCTTTACCACAGATTGTATGATAGTATCCATGTCCAACGGTCTAAGGGAACGTAAATTAATGACCTCAGCCTCGATTCCCTTTCCAGCAAGTTCGTTGGCTGCTTCGAGAGATTCTTCAACAGCTTTGGAATGTGCTACCATCGTTACATGATTGCCCACCCGTTCTATTTTAGCCTTACCAATGGGTAAAACAAAGTCCTTGGATAAAGCCTCGTCAGACATAGGATATTGTACACCATATAATATTTCATTCTCGAGCACTACTACTGGATCTGGATCTCGAATGGCTGCTTTCAACAAACCCTTAGCATCTTCGCTATTATAGGGTGATACTACTTTCAAACCGGGACAATGACTATACCAGGCACCAAAACACTGCGAATGTTGTGCCGCTACACCTGCAGCTGCACCATTGGGACCACGAAACACAATTGGCACATTGATTCTGCCTGCAGACATATAAAATGTCTTGGCAGCAGAGTTGATAATGTGATCGATTGCTTGCATAGAAAAATTAAATGTCATGAATTCACAGACTGGTCGCAGGCCGGCCTAGAAAATATTTATGCAGATAGGAAAATAGAGCAATAGAAATATAATAAAGCATAACAATTGCTCCAGACGTACCATAGCTGCTCCAACAGCAATACCAGTGAAACCAGCTTCTGTAATTGGCGTGTCGATGACACGTTTGTCTCCATACTTTTCCAAAGACCCCGAGAAACCTTGTAAGCACCATCATAGAGAGCCACCTCTTCACCAAGAAGAAACACCTTTTCGTCCTTCTCCATCTCCTCATCCAGGGCTGAGTTCAAAGCATCTCGTACCGTCATCTAGCATTACATAAATTTCTATCAGATGAAAGAATACTAAAATGTAAATGACCTTTCGTGTCCTTCAAGTTTTCATTTCTCTAGACGATCATATAGAGAAGTGTCGAATCAAGGAAGATGAAGGGAGAACAAAAAAAAACAGTTGGTTAGTATGGAGACATTCGCGAAAGCTAACATCGCATCTCCGCGACATATCCGAAAAATTGAGTTTTAGGTTAGATTTAATAATGAATTAAATCACCTGCTGCGCTGCTGCCCATCTTGATGTGGAGAACGAACGACGAGCGACAGTTCTTACGGCAGTCTAAAAACAAAAGAGCATTGTCGTAATCTATCTCGAAATTCAAAATTTCGTACGCGTGTTCTCGAATGAGCTCTGCAACAATGTTCATGCCACTTGCAGCCATTTCGATTTTCCACTCACGCGATGTTTATTTATAACAAGACGAAATAGGAACACAGATGGAAGAGGTAGAAGAGGTTGCAACGTGGAATGGGTCACCTAATTGCAACAGCCCGTTCTCTTCGGATTTGGAATTTTTTACCGTGAACATGTTAGGTCGTTGACAGAGAAGCGAATCAACGGAAGCTTTTCACGACGCGGCTTTTTTTCAGAGCGATCCTTCTTTCGGAGGATGACTCGGGGTCCAGGAAAAAAAAATTGTCGTCCCGCAATAAAACGCAGACTGTGTTAACGGAGCCAAGGACCGCACGGGACTGTTATGAAACGTGCGTCGTCGATCCAAAACGGCGGCGCGTCGACTGGCGTTTAAAGCCGAAGCGGCAATCAAATGAATTGAGTGGTACTGATAAAGCAACTTATGCGACAATTAAGTAATCGCGTGACAGATACGTGACAGACACGTTCTATCAAATTGCGTTCCACGTATGCAAAGCAATTGTAAAATGGAATAAATGGAATAAATGGAGATTTAAATTAATTCCTGCGCGCTTTTTTCAATCGCAGTAAGTGCATCTTCGTGATTGTTTCTTCTTTTGATTCTTTTTTTTTATCTTGAAAAACAAATACACATGAGTTTTGTTATAAATACTACAGACGCGCGCTAGTATTATATAATTCTTGGTCTTTCTATTCAAAAAGTTAAATGGCGCGCTGCGTGCGCTATTTATCTATTAAGAAGATGTTGACAATATCGACCACAATCACGATCTATCATAGATAGATGGCACACGTTGTCACGATGGCGGCAAATCGTCAAAGGTACTACACGTGTTTTCACACTTTTTTTAGGAGGGTAAAAAGTGTGAACATCTAAGCAAAAAAACGTGCGACGTTCTTTCACGGTTCTTTTTTTCATGCGCATTGCTGATTTTTAAAAGACTGTAACTTCTCAAAAAATAAACGTAGAGGCATGGGACAAAAACGAATCTTCTTCATTTCGCATCCCACAAATGTTTATGTTAAATGCATATATTCTTATCATGATATATCCCAGTGAACATCTAGAATATCTAAAATCTCTTTGGGTATATCATGTATATAAGATATTCGAAGATGCCAGAATAAAATATAAATTATTTCTATAAGAATATTTTATATATATAATTACATATATATTCTTATTTGAAATATATAAGTTGAAAAAGTTTTTACCGGAAATTGATATGTCTTTCGTTTTACAACAAAACTTCTTTTTAATATCATCTTTCTGTTGATCTCATCTTTTAGATAAAATATTGTAAAATGTTCTATTTCATTATAAAAATAAACTGTAAAACATTAATAAATTTATAATAATAATAATTCATCAATAATTTTCATTTATCAATCATAAGATAATCCAAATAAAATCAGTTTTAAATTACGAAAGATGGCATTAACGTCTTAATTTGAATATTTCGCGAACAACTTGTTCTGAACGCCATTTTTATAAGTTTACTAATAAATTAAGAAAACGGATTTATATTTTTTAAGATTTAATTTGTTTAAATAAAATTTAAAGTAGAAATATAAAAATAAAGATCATATGATAATAATATTCCGTAATATTCATCAGAATTTAATAAGAATATAAATGACAGTATTGAATCATTCCAAAAAGAAATTTCCACAAATTTGTGAAGTTAAATATCTTTCATATCATAAGCAAATCTAAATAAGATTATTACGAGCTAAAACATTAAGTTCACAACATGAAGTTAGAAATGAATATGAATGAATATTACTGAATATTATTATCATTCGCATACAAATTTTTTCAAAAGTATTACAAATCATAAAACTGACATAATATCGATTTTTTAATTGCTCATGTATATTTATTTATGTTTTTATTTTAGTCTAATCTAAATAGAAAATTAAAATAGAAATATAAGTCTAATTTAAAATAGAAATATAAGTCTAATTTAAAATAGAAATATAAGTCTAATTTAAAATAGAAATATAAGTCTAATTTAAACAAATTAAATCTCTGAAAAAGATATCTAAAAAGTAAAATATGTAAAATATGTCTAAAAGAGTACTTTATTATATCACCTATTATGTCATTATTATGTCACCTCTGAATATTTATTTTATCCTGATATATGCCTTATTTCCGTACAACCTTATCAAATCGTATTTCAATTCGATTTCTTTTGTAACATCAGGATGCCAGGAATGCTGGATGATTCATGCATAAGATGTCACGAGTAAGAAGCGCGAGATGAAGATGGACGAGCGCATACGAAACGACATGAAGGTATGCAAGCTACATGGCATGTTACATTTACAACGTATACTTTATTAATTG